AATAGATGATGAATGCATGAATGAATGAATCCATAATGATGAACGCATAATCATCAGCCTATTTCTTCAGATAAACAATGAAGAATATGAATGATTTATCGCCACAACCCTCAGCAAAAATGCCCTAAAAACCTTAACAAGCTATTTTTCTCGAGCTACATACAAAGAGGGGTACCCCAAGGAGCAAGGAGCTCCAAAGCCCCCCGCCTCCAAGGAATCGCCCCTGCGGGTGCACCTACGAAGCTAAAAATTTCCCGCGGATACACCCGCTGGACTGAAAAGATCCTGCACACGCTAGAGAGGTAACTCATCAAAAATCGTCACGGTGGCCCCTCGATGGATGTTCGCAAGTGAGGTCCCTTCCGAACACTCATTCATACTATTTTAATGAAAGTGATCTAAACTGCATTCATATGTGGTGATGCTTTGTGAGCTTGCACATTCTAAAAATTTCTTAATTAGGGTGTCATTATGTGCAGATATCTATCTATCATCAATGGAACTATTTCATTTTATGATGCTCACACAGAAAATGCTCGCGACTATTTGCGAAGCAGCTATTTGATTGAATTAAACTCATTCACTTAATAGCTATGCAACTAAGCATTCAAACAACTCAGAGACTGCAGCAGCAGTAGTTCATCGAATATTTCTGATGAGAACAAACGCGACGTATGAAAGTTCCAACTATCCTACCTATTATCCAGCTCCTTAGATTTGCGTTTTTCAAGTCACTGTCGTGAATGTTTGACTTCTATTGATCGCTTTCATTTGCATGCGATTGAACGATGATAAAATTAAGAATGAATGCCATTCATCGAGTATTTTCAACAAAGGCTAATTCTATTATAGACTACAAGTCGAGTTCATGTGCCATTTGGAACTCAGCTCTCTAAATGCTTCTCCTTATCTGGCAACAATAGAAGCAGCCAAGCAGCCTTGTTGGCATTTTGAATTGTTCCCGGGCGCATTTTATTGCTCCTCTAGCGTATCGAACATATTTTTCCGGCTGTTTCGAAAAGAATTATGACTGCATCGGTCATGCACTATATTTTTAATACGTCATCCTCTGAACGCAATTTTAAATTGAATTGTTCCCTGGTGCACTAGGAATGTAGAACTGAAGCACAAAGGATGTCTAGCTCTAAAGCTCACCCGGCAACTGAATCGCAACAGCAACAGCAGTGCATCCGAGGATTCAGTATGAATTTGAAAAGATGGTTGCCTCTGTGAGTGGTACGTACGTACATCAATGAATAAAACTGATCAAATTAGTCAATCCGTCTCACTCTTTTTTTTTCCAGCTTCTTATTGTGGAGAGGAGAAAATGCTTGAAGGGGACTACTCCATTGGGATCCGTCTTGTTTGTCTTTGTTTGCTAATATAGGTTTGTCTGTGGGCAATTCAGCATCAGAAGCACCATTCGAATCAGAAGCAGCAGCTGTTTGCCTCGAAGAAGTGGGCATAATAATGTTGTTGATGATGGTGGTCATATAGATTGAAGTCGTCTTCGTTGGTTGCTTTTTCCGTTAGCCAAATAAACGACGATTTGAGTGAACGGCGAATGAAGTTGTGTACTGTTTGTTCATTGAATTGAATTTTGCTTATTTGTGTCATCATTTAAGTCGTTTATGTTCCATGCATTCATGCGCTTGTTCGTTCATTCTAACATTATTCGGTTGTTCATTCACATTTGAGTTTTCTTCGTCTTCTTTATGCGCTCGAATTCGTCACTGATGTGAGTCAATCGACTTGAATGAACCATGTTCGGAGACGAGACGAGAGTGAACGGATGAGAGCAGGACGACAGAGGGGCACAACGATGGCCACCGAACGATATCAGTGGCAAGCTAGCAGCAGCCAGCCATTCTTCACATTTCACAGTTTCGATGCTTATCTGGCAGCTGCTGGCTGGCTCGAATGGTCTTCGTGTCGTGGCTTGTTGTTCTGCCTGGTTCTCAGCTGATTCCTCGTGATATCATTTGCGAACACTGAATCTGCATCAGTCATCTCCCTCGATTAGTCGACTCTAACCCGTGTTGTCGTTGTTGTGGGCATTTGCAAAAACAATCATCATTGATTTGTTGTGAATTCATAGACGATTGCATTGATATGATCAGTTATGTTCATTATTGTTTTGTAGCCGATACACAAAACGAAGCTCGCAGATTAGGTTGAATTTGGATCGTGAAAGTCCCAGTTGTACACGTCGAGCAAGCAGAGCCGCAGATATGTTCTCAGAAACGGGCGATTTCGGAATTACTTTGGCTGAACAGCTGCAACTGTCAAGGTACGTTCTTACATAGATTCATTCCTATCTGTCGGTTTCGAAAATGCATCTCGTATGAAAAGTGACGCCACGAGAAGAATCTCGCTAAATGCAGTGTGAAACCACTGATCTGAATGAACAATAGCAATAATCATATGACAACAACTTCACAATCTTTCATCGCTTCACTCAATAAACTTTGTGTTTTTGATCGGTAATGCAACCGTACCGATCATTTGGCGTTTCGCATAAAAAGCTCACGATCAGATGTTAGTGGACGAAGCCACTTTAAGTTACTCAGCCTGCTTTCGAATATTGAAGAGATACACATAGTGGAAATTGCTTGAATGATAAAAAACGATGGTCATTTGCATTAGGCAATAGTGTTTGTTCATTCATTATTATCCGATGGCATGATGCCGTCATACTGTTGCTGAATCGATGAGTTGAGTAAAGAAGAATGGAAGATGGCACGGGGGACAAATTGAAACCATTCATCCATCGTATTGCTTTTGAATGAAATGATGAAAACTCTCACTTTTTTGATGAATACAAATCGAATTCAAATTAAGTGCTTTAAGCGAGCATCTATTGATTCCATTCGGATAACGAAAAATCTTTTGAATCGCTCGCCTTCGTTCATTTATTCAGCATTTTCGGACTAAATCTCGCCATTGTGATGACTGAATTCGTTGAAACCATTTTTGAAACTACGATTAGACGAAATGGATAAAGAGTGCATAAATCAGCATTAATTCGCATATATTACCACTCACCATTACGGTTTATCGTTGCCTTTNAATGACATAAATGAATATTTTTCTAGTTGTTTTTTTGGTAGTATAGAAGAAATAAAACCTATCAACATAAACGCATACAAATGCTCGAGACTGCTGCTTAATTCTCCTTTCACTATGCAATTAAATTGAGTGATCCACTCGAAACGAAAATGACTTCGGTGAAAATCCATTGTGAAAATGCATTGAGTTAATACTGAATCTTATGAGGGTAACACCCTTTTTCGGGCTTTTATTATTGGGACGAAAACAGCGAATGTCATTGCAGTAGTAGGAGTTCGTTAGAAGCACACATAATCGCTATTCATCAAGAAAATGGTAAGCTTCACAACGCAGGTATATCGAATGAGAATTTTTGATTTATTGCGTGCATTCAACAGCAGTCATTCCAACTTACTCAATCGAATAGAGCGCTGATCAGCGAATGTAAGCACTCTCAACAACTGAAATGAATTACTGCAAATCATTCAGAACTGAAACACGAAGTTTATCATCGTAATTGCTCTATGCTAATGTCATTTCCACATTCATTCATGCTTACCGCAATAAATCTTTAATTGTTCCACTGATATGGTCCAATTTCAAGCTAAAATCATTTCTCATCGTGACGTAATTCTTTATTCACACGAAAACTCATCTGAAGAAAACGACAGCAAAAGGAAATTCGTTGTCCTGTTTTCCTCTTAACAATGCCCTTCAAGTCGATCTTTTACGTGTAGCTCATTTGTGCAGTATAATCATATTAAGCAGTGCTCTTGATTAGTGACATTCTCGTGTTATATAGTACACGTTTTTATGCTTTACTTGATTACATTGCATTGAAACAGTAAGGTTAGTGCCTGAGAATGGACAGTTTGCAATGGAAAATGCAACATTGAGAGGAACAGTAAATGCTCTACGAAAATAAGGCTGATCGTGAGAACAACGATGACCGAAAAGTTCAAATCATAATTCAAATAGTGATGGAAATGGAATATAGGTGCAAAACTGTTGCTTTTTAAGCTGTTGAGTCGAATGCTTCTCAAGCAGTCAAAACGACAATCTACTACAAAAAAAGAGGGAATAGGGCTCAAAGAACAAAAATATTTGATGATTATTAATGAAATGGCAGCAGAACGTTATTTGATAAAGGTCATATGTGCTAACTGCCTTTCATAAATGACATTTAAGTTGAGTAAATGCACATGATTAGTTTTAATGTTACGCAGAATTCATATTATGAACGAGAGAAAAGCTGAATGATTTCGAATCTCATAGAGTATGTTATAAATAATTCTTTTAAAAAACTGATGTTAATTTCAGCTATCAAATTCAACATTTGCAACAAACTTGGTCAAAATTACGCACATCACCAAATTTTTTACTGAATGTATTCAGGTTGGTTTTCGTTTGCTTCTAGAATGGTTATTTATTGCTGACTGCAGTTACTAACCACCAATTATTGCCTCTCTTTTGCTGCTATTCCAACGAATTTCTGACTGACGTGGATAAAATTGAGACGCATAGACAAAAAGTGCATACGAGTAGAATTATTCAGACCTAGTCTCTGAATTGTAATTTCGAATTGAAACTGCGAAGCGTGGAACTAAGGTCTTATTGAGTAGACATCCTCTTTAAGAATTCAAAAAAGAGTTGTTCATATATGAAACAAATTGATTTCTGTGAATGGTATCGGATGATCTGATCAAAATCTGATCCAGTCCAGAATAAAGAACAGTCATTTCCAAATACTGCACGGCAATAACGAGATGATGATGATGAATTGCAGAGCGGTAATTGCGAACAATATGCAAGCTAAAGAGCTCTTTCAAAAAGCTTCCATCATTGAGGGGTTCTCGGCCGGTGGAAAATCGTGTAATATAAAGGAGCACGCCAGAGAGCTTTGCGAACTGATCGACTTCTGCATTCACGAAATTCACAGTTCCACAAGAGTGGTACATGTAAGTGAGTAATGGACGCTTGCTCTTGACCTGGTTATGAGACCATCTTACAGATGCAAACTTGCAGATAGCAATACAATAATGCATTAAAATGAAATCCAAGTAATCGTATTCAATCTCAGATGAAATTCATTTCATCAAGCTTCATCGTTAAACATTTACGTAAAATGTGCAGTATTGGAAAATGAATTTCCATCATTTATTGTTGGAAATAATTTGAGCGATTGTTCGAGAATGTTAGCTAGCATAGGGCGAATTCGAGTATAAGGCAAAAATGTTTACTTCTTTTTTTCGTTTATCTCATTAAAATACCCATTCAATTGTGCGCGACTGAATGAACACATTATTGACTTGAATCAGTTGGAACTGAAGAAAAAATGCTGAAAGGGAATTGGTTGATTGAAATTTCTCGTTTTATGATGCAAATTTTGGCATACATTTCGAATGGAGTAAGAGCTTTTTCTGGTCTATTTTACACGATTTCACTCACTTATTTTCCATATGAACTAACTGATAGGAAAAGAAACGAATGAATGACGCAGTTCAGCGATTGCACATGCTTGAAATGCTATCAAATTTTCCAATTGTGTTCAATTTCGAGTGGCAATTAAAACGAAATCCTTTCTCGTTGTATTTCTCCAACTGTTTTCCAGGGTTATTGCTTCAGTTGATCGTTTCGAATAAAATTGCGAAGCATAAACATTCGCAACAAGACACAAGATTAATGCGCATTTTGAGGCACAACAATACGCTTCAACATTATTTGCTTGTAGTTGAAAAATATCAAACGAATTGCTGTTTTAAAAAAAGCAAAACAATGTTTTTGAAAAGCAAAACAATTCCTCACTTAAGTGTATAGTGAAGAGCCAGAAAGAAGAGTAAGGGATTGAGTAGGAATTGGGTACGATATCAATTAACTACTCGAGAAATCCTTCAAATTGAGATGTGATGTTTCTCACTTCAGCGAGGAGCTTCAGTTCTAGCGTGATGCCTCCTTGCTTCCTGAGTAAAGAGGGACGTAACACCATTTTTGTTTCATTGTGATTTATCTGAGCCCACGCCAAAATCACTTATCAATGCTTGTACCAAAATAAGTCATCGGTTACCTCATCAACGCTAAAATGACTTGTCAGTGTCCGCTAGAAACTGGTGATATTACTTCGTATGGTTCTTGACTATTGATGGAGGATTCTAGAGAAGAGCACGGCCGATGCATCATGCAACAAAACAGACAGTCGTGTCTTTTTCAGGATCGATGCACCAGTGTTGGTGAAGCACATTGCGGTGCAACAGACAGGTCAATGAGTCAGGTTTGGGATCAGTTCGGTGATTGCTTGGCTGAAGCGATCACAAAGGCTGAGCCGATCAGAGGCAAACGAGAATGCCTTAAGGCGTGGAATGCACTCATTTCTTTCATTGTTAGAAAGTTTCACTTCTCTCCGATTCTTTCATTCCATACATTTCGCATTAATCGACGAATTTCGTCTCAATCTTCGATCATTGACTTGAGAAAGTGATGAGAAACACTGAACAGTTTAGTGGATGTAATTTCAAAACGTTTCATTCCATCAAAATAAGCTCTCGCCTTTATGCTCACAATTAGGCAAATGCTTACGCTTAAACATGGAGGAGCTAAATCAACATTTGCTTTAACATGCATCCGACTGATTTACACTTTGCTAACTGACTTTATAACAACAGCTAGGCGTAAAGTGCGAAAAACTTGTTTGGATTTTTCCTCATCATAAATTGCAAAACATTTTTGCACGGTGATAATGCATAGGACCAAAAAATCCATAAATTCATTTGAGAAAAACAACACTGGAGTGATAAAATGGTTTCAGGTGGATAGTACGAAGGGTGGCTACCTGGCAGAGTACAAAAGGAGGAGTGCTAAGAAGTGGTCTCGACAAGAGAACACTGCTGCTGATACAATCTAATCAGACACTTCATACTGCTGCATATCAATATTCTATTGTGTAAAAGCATTTGTTTCACTCGACTATATTCATGAATTTTTTCTTTTCAAATGCAATTCACATGTTCATAAAGGTAAACGAATTGTTCGCTGCTTACTGCTTCCTTGACACATTCACTCTTCAACACATCATCATCGCAGTGTGCTCATTCAAACATCTTCAAATCAAATTCAAACCCTCAACTCATTTTTACATACGCAAACAAGTGTCTAGTCCATGAACTTTCAACTGCACACGGTAATAGTCACATAAACACCGATGATTTAACGGCGACAATCGGCATTCAATGAGGCACATTAAAGACTTTCGATGTTTGTTGATCTAATCAGAAAAGTTTATGCAAATGAACAGATGTGTGCATGATTATGGTTGTTATGATCTGATCATGCGAATTATGACTGGCAAAGCGTTTGTTGCGCTTGCGTTGTGACAACAAACCATTTCGATAATTTACGGCCATTTCCGAGTGTCGTTTATCTTTTCAACACGTTTATTATGTACACAACATCAGCATGCTTACCGTAAGATCATTATGATCCTTCATTATCATTTCAAATACTACCTACCGACAGTTTATTTTGCATATTTGCTTTAGCAGTATTCATTCTAATCAGCATTATGGATAACAGAACAAGAACTCAAAATGATACATTATGTGCTATTTTCAAATATTATTTCATTTGCTGA